AAAAAAAAAAAAAAAAAAAAAAAAAAAAAAATCTTTATTAATTTGAAACGTAATATTATTTAAAACATTTTTATGAAAGAACGTGACAATAAAATTATGAAACCTCATACAGATTTTTTTCTTTTTTTGTTGAATAAAAAAGTATTCTTTTGAACATTTAAAAAAAAGTTATTAATTGAAAATTAACGCTTTTCGTATATATTAATGTAAAATTTTTTTTTTTTTTTTTTTTTTTTTTTTTTATTTTTTGACAAATTAAAAAAACATAACTATATTAAATATAGTTCTATAAACAAAATTTATATAATTTTTATTTTTATAAAAAATAGCAGTAATATAAAAAATTTTTTTATTATTTTTTACATTTAAAAAAGATAAGATATAAATTGAGGATTTAAAAAAAAACTGAATTATTAATAAAGGAAGAAATGTATCAATTATTTTCTTAAATTTTTACTATTTTATATTTCACATCATTATATATTTTTATATTTTTAAATTGTCAACTTATTTTTTATTTAATTTTTTTTTTTTTTAATAAAATTCGATATTAAAATAATATATTTTTATTTAAAATTTTTTTTATTTTATTTTTTTTTTAATAACATTTTATTTAAAATTCCTTTTTTTTTTTTTTTTTTTTACAATTTATTTTAAAATATTATTTTATTCTTCAATATGAGTGGTAGCAATAAGAGTGATACTAAATTAGATAATGAGATAAGAGTGAGTTATAAAAGTGATGCTTTAGATTACGTCTATAAGGCAATAGTTTTGTTTGAAACATACGATGAAGTAATATTATCAGGGGTGGGTAAGGCAATTAGTTCTGTTGTTAATGTTGCTGAGATGGTTAAGAGAAGAGCGAAAGGTATACACCAATTTACAAAACTTTATGAAAAAGAACATATAATTAAAAGGTTAAATGTTGATATCTTTACAAAATTTTGTGAGAAATATATATATATATTTTGAAAATAATAATATTAATAATATATATATATATATAATCTTATTTTATGAAGTTATTTTTTATTGTATTTTATTTTTTTCATCTTACACTTTTTTCTTGTAATTTTTTATATTTTATAATATGCATGTATATATATTAATATTCTTTGTTGAGAAAATTCTTTTTATAAAATGGATTTGCTATTTCTTTGTTTTATAGAGAGGATACCAGTGGATTAAAAAAAAACACAAAGTATGATAATAAAATATCAACTGAAGAGGAAGAAGATGAAGAAAATAATAAAAATAAAACAACTTCAAATAGGATAATTGAATTTAGTACCACAGTTCCATGCATGAAAATAATTTTGTCTAAAAATGAAGAGAAAATTGATAAAAATGAGATTGGATACCAGAAACCCCTAGATGAAAAGGAGATTAATGTGATGACTCCTGAGCAAATACTAAAAGAAAAAGCCTATAGAAGAAGATGTAAACTTTTTATAAATTTATATAAAAATGAAATTTATTTTTTCATTTTAACACTTTTTTTCTTTTTATAATTATTATAGATAGAAGAGGAAGAGGAGATAGAGGAAGAGGATATCGTAGAACATACTATGAAGCTTCAATGTGGAATAACAGAAGATATGAAAAAAGAAATTAATAATTAAAAGTGAAAATAAATTACTCATTCAGATTAAATACATATATATTTATATTATGTATTTTCATGTAAATTTGAATAAAATATAAGTAATATTTTTTTTTTTTTTTTTAATGTAAAAGTTGATATAGTAGCTCAAATTATTTTATTTATAGAGGATATTTTTGTTTAAAACAAAATATTTAAAGGAATTTAAAAAAAAAAATAGAACTATTAAAATTGAAAATATAATAAAAATTTAACATTTTAAATTAAAAGTCACCTTCACTATATATATATCATTATATTTTAAAAATTTCACAATATTACAAAAAGAAAATTATAATTTTATAATATAATATTTAAAATAATAATAAAATGTGAAACTTTCCATAATTTGTTATTATGTCCAAATATAAAATTTAAATATATCATTAATAATAAATGTTTTAACATTTTATATGCTATATAAAAAAACATTAAAAAAAAAAAAAAAAAAATTAAATAATAAATCATTCTTCCTTTGACATATGCAGATATGAGGATTCACTTTTTATCAAAGTTAAATTGTAAAAAATAAATGACTGAAAAAAGCCAAATCATATAACTGTATTATTTCATGTTTTCTTTTAATTCAAAATTTTATTCCAAAAAAAAGACATTTCAAAATAAGAAAAATATTCAAATTATTATATCCTCATTAAATATATAAAAAATTTATAATATTTAAAGTATCTCATTTTAAGTAGTCTAATATTAACCCAAATATAAAATATTAAATTATGATAACTTAATCATATGAATAAAAAAATGAGAAAAAAAGAAATATATTTTATTAAATAAAACGTTTACAATAATAAATCTATAATTCCTCTATTTCTTACCATAATTCCTCTATTTTTTACCATAATTTCTCTATTTCTTACTATAATTCCTTTTTTCCCTCTTTGTTAAATAGAATAATGTTTTGTTAAATTTGCATTTATCTTTTCCATTATAATAGTTTTAGGTCATAATATAAATAAATATAAATGAAATGGTAGAATGTCTAAAATTATAATCAAATGAATTAATTGTAACTTTTAGTAATAGACCTTAATTTATGGTAGAATTAAAAAATTGGTTTTTATCACAATTTTTTTTTTTTTTTTTTTTTTATATTATGTTCTCTTGTATTTATAAATTGTTTTAGTAGTTTAATAAAAATTAAATTATTATGCGTTTCAAATAATCTTATTAAATATTTAAAAAAAATTAAATTAAATTAGCAAATTGAATAAAATACTCTAGTTTATCGCCAAAAGTTAGTAAAGTATTGTGAAATTTTTACTTTAATAATATACAACTAAATATTTGTTCCACTATTTGGTGAATAACACAAATTAGGCAAAAAAAAAAAAAAAAAAAAAAAAAAAAAAAAAAAAAAAAAAAAATACAAAATAAGTACCTTTATTTTTTGGTGTAATTAATAATTTTTAAATGTTAAGTAATTTGTATATATAAAAAAAAAAAATATTTCTATATTATATTTGTATATATAATATTTTTTTATTTAGTATGAAGTTATTATATATTTTTTTCTTTTTAATAGAAACAATTTTATAATTTTCATAATCGTATTTAATTTTTTTTTTTTTTTTTTTATAATTTTAAAAACTTTTTAATTTAATGAATTGTTATATTCCATAAAATAATTTCCAATTATTATTTTAGCAATATAAAAAAAAAAAAAAAATAATTTTTTTATGTTGTGAGTAAATATATTTTAGTAAAATAATGAAAAATTTAAAAAAAAATACTATAATTTTTATGTTAATGTGATATCTTAGTAGTAAAAGAAAATATATTATAATATTCTTGTGTAAAATTATAAGATGACAAAAAATGAGTTGAAGATTACTTTTATTATTTTTTTTTTTGTTATAGAATTTCAAAGATATATTTAAAAATTTTTAAATTTAAAAAAAAAAAAAAACAAATAAAAAATAAAAAAAAAAAATGTTTGAATCATTAGTTGAAAAATTGCTAAATAAATTTTTAGCTCCATATGTTGAAGGAATAGAGCATAATTTGCATTTGGGTGTGTGGTCAGGTAATATAGTTTTAGAAAATTTGAAGTTAAAACCACAAATAACTGAAATATTAGATTTATCTTTTAAAGTAATATATGGAAATATAGGGAGAATAAATATACAAATACCATGGAGTAGTTTAGGAAAAAATCCAGTTTGTGTTTTAATTAAAAATGTGCATATTTATGTAAAACCAAGATGCTACAAAAAAAGTGAGGATGTTATTATTGAAGAATTAAGAAAAGCTAAAATGCATAGATTAGAAATGTTAGAAGAAGAAATTTCTATTATTAAACTACAAAAAAACAATGAAAAATCATCAGAAAAATCTACTCTTATATTTAAACTATTAAATAAAATTATTAATAATATTCAAATAGATATTCAAGATATTTTAATTCACTTCGAAGATACAGAAAAAAACTTTTCAATTGGGTTTATATTAAAATCATCATCGGTAAAAAATTGTCACAGCAAAGAAGAAAATTCAACACAAACAAATAGCACTATTGAAAATAAAAAATTAAATCATATTATTGAATTTAAAGGGTTATGCATTTATAGTAATAGCAATATAAAAAAGAAAAAAAAAAAAGAGAAAGAAGAAAAAGAAAAGAAAAAAAAAAAAGGGAGCTGTAAAGATAGTAATGAAGAAAAAGAACAAAAAATAGACGAAGTTAATAAACATATGAAAGAAAATATAGAAAATAAAACATTAATGAATAATGACAAAACAAATGACATAAGTGATAAAATGGAAAATTATAATTTTTCATCTAATTTAAAAAATAATTATTTAAATACTAATGATATTAATGAAGATAATAACATCTTTTCTAAATTAAAAAGTAATGAACATAATAAGGATGATTACTTACATGATATGTTAAACTGTTTAAATAGTTTTTTAAAATATGATGACAAAATTTTGAATAATTACAATTTTGAATATTTGATTAAACCTTTTGATTTAGTATTACCTGTGGAACAATCTAGTAATAAAAAAGAATTAAAAGCAAAATTAGAAATAAGCGAGAAGTGGGAAGGAATAACATTAACAAAAACGCAAATTACAAAAATAATTGAAATAATGAATGAAGCAAATAAATCTAGAAATCAAACAAATAAATTGTTATTAAAATATGCATGCACTGTTAAATTAGATATAGAATCATTAAGAAATGAAACAAAAAACGAATTCATGAATTTATATAATAAAGTTCTTGGTGAAAAATATAATATTTCAAAAATTGAATTGTCTTCTCAAGAACTTAACAGGTTACAAATTTTATATGATGTGGTAGGTGTAAGACATTTGGCCAAATGGAGATTGCAGTGTAAAAATACTCTAGAAAAAATAATTGAAGAAAAAAATTTAAAAAAAAAATATTTATATGATTCTATATATAAGCAACAATCATGGTGGTCATGGGTTACAGGTAATAAGAAAGAAATAGAGAATAAAGTTCAAAGTATTTTAAAAAGTGAACAAGACGTTTTAAATGAAAAGGAACTAAATATTTTACAAGAGGCTGTAACAAATGAAGATAATTATGATGTTGTTATTCCAACTAAATACGATTTTGAATTTAAAGTTGCAAATTTCTCTATTAATGTATACGATGATTATAAAAAAAAAAAGTATGCAAAAAAGAAAAAGAATGATCAAAAAATAAATGAGGTAGAAAGAAAAACAAACAGGATATTTATGAATAATGTTTTTGATTTAAGTAATAAAAAAAACAAAACTGATAATAATAATGATAATAATATTATTAAAAATAATTTTAATATAAACGACATTTTATCATATTCTAGTGATAATATATTATTAAGTAGCACATCAAACTATACTTTTAGTAGTTCTACATATACACATAAAAAGGAAATACAAGAAGAAATTAATATATTATCAATTAATTTTTGTCAAATTTATTCTTCATTATCTCTTCAATCAGTTGTTGATCATAATGATCATGATAATTTTCAATGGAAGTTTATAATTGAATTACAAAATTTTGTAGCAAAGCATAAAAATAAGGTATTTATGGAATTTAGAAAAAATAATAGTTTATTTCCTTTTAATATGAACAACACAAATAATGTATATAGAAATTCAATATTTTATTCATTAATATATAGTCAAAGTTTGTGTGCTTACTTAGAGATTAATCATTTAATTGCAGAAAATGGAAACACTTTATCTACATTATTAAGACTGAATCCATTGGAACTTTATTTGTCACCATTACTTATTAAAAACCTTTTATCCTTTGCATTTCCTCTAATTGATATTATTAATAGAAAACCTAATAGTATAATTAAAAGAGGTAAAACTAAAAGCATACATTCATATGAATGTAATAAAACAGAAGAAAAACGCTATTCCATCTCTAATGAATTAAATCCTGAAAGTATGCAAAATAAAGAGGAAGAGAAAAATGAGGTTATATATAATGATGAAGTTATTGAAAAAAATTTAGAAAAAGAAGATGAAACAGAAAAGAAAGCAGAGAAAGTAACAAAAAAAGATGAAGAAGAGGAAGAATATGAATATGAAGATGAGGAAGAGGAAGAAGTACATGAAGAAGCATTGCTCCATATAAAAAAAATGGAACAATCAGAATTAATTGAAGGATTAAAAGAAAAAGGGGAAAATGTATATAATAAAGCAGTTCAACATTTACCTGAATTATTTGAATTTTACATTCATATATGTGGTCCAATTTTACATTTTGATAACTTAACGAATGGCATTGTTGAATTACATTTAGGTAATTTGGTTGCAAAAACAGAATATCCATGCACCTATAATAAATTTAATTTAATATTTGAATTTAATGAAACACAAATTACATGCCTTAAAACGAAATCCATATATTTTAATAAAACACGCAATTCCAAAAAAGATGTAGACTTAAATCGCAATCAAAAATTATTTAATGAAATAAATATTAAAAAATTAGACAATACATATTTAGACATAAATGAAAAGAAAATAATGTCAAATAATGACAATAATGTAAATATAGTTACTAAAGACAGTTATTCCAATAATATAAAAGAAAAAATATTAAATAGTCAGAAGTTTTACATATTACAACCAATTCCAGTTAAAGTATATGTAGAATACGATTTAAAAATTTTAAAAACTAATATTATACTAGATAGAATATTTTTTCAAATTAATCCTGATGCCATAAGTATTATACTAGCTATTCCAACATCTATTACTAGATATTTAACAAAATTTTATTCAAAAAACAAAAAAGAAAAAGAATTTTATAAAAATAAAAAAAGAATTTCCGTAGAAAAAAGAAAAATAACTTCAAAAGAAGAAACTACATGCTTCAATGTACAAAGTGAAATGGGGGAAAAAAAAAATAATAACATTAGTGATCCTGAAAAAATAAATAGAGAAAGTACAAATATTATAGGGACGAATGGAAATATTAAGCAAGAAGAAGAATCCTTTTTATATGATATTGATTTTCTAATTAAGAATTCAGGATTTTCCATTAAAAATAAAGAGAATTGTGAAATACTAAAATATGAAGCTTGTGGAATATCATATAAAAATTATTTACAAAAAAAAAAAAAAATTGTTAAAATTGAAATAGAGCAATTATGGATTTGTGATCCAAGTAACAAGCAACCAATTTTTTTTACATTAGCGAAGGATATTTACTCAAAGGATATTTTTCTCTTTAGATCATTATCGACATACTTAGAAGAAAAAAATAATAATAATAATAATGCACAGGAAAATAAAGAAGATATAGAAAATATGCATTTAGAATATAAAAATAATAATTCGAATTGTGCACAAACAAATGAAGCAGTTAAAAAAGAAGAATCATTTACAATAAATATAAAAGATAAAGAAAAAGAACATATAGAGAAAAATGATTATATTATTAACAGTCATATTGAAGATAATAAGAATTATGAAAAAAAAAAAATGAGAGAACAAAATGATAAATTAATTAATATTTATGATAAGCAAGAATTAAATAATGAATTTTTATATAAAAAGAAATTCAGTAAGTGTGATGATGATAATAAATGTTTAAAAAAAGAAGAAAATTGTTATAATTATGATTATAGTAACAATAATAATGATATAGAATATAAAAATAGTTCAAATAGTTTAAATCATAAAGGTGATAAAGAGGAAGAGGAAGAGGAAGAAGAAGAAGAAGAAGATGATGATTTTATGGATGCTATAGAAGAAAAGCAGTTATCAATAAATTTACAAATTATACAGGAACAAAATGAAAATAATAAAGAAGAAACTCACATTAATTTTATTATAAGTGATATTGAATTGCATTGGAAATATAAAACTATAAAACAAATATTTAAAACAATGAAAGAATATAAAAAAAAACTACAATATGGAATTGAAAAGGATATGAAATATATAAAAAATAAATTAAATAATGAAAAGGAATTAAAAAATTATAAAATGTTTATATCTGAACATGCTTTAAGAAGTGTTCAAGAAACATTAAAAAATGTAAAAGATTCTTTGAATATTTTAGATATAGAATCGGCTAAATTAAACAATGAAATAAATGATATTGGAAATGATATGATAAAAAATACAAACAAAGGGTTGAGTAATAATCATATTGTAAAACCCATTTTTTCTGATACCTCTACAGTAAACCTAAATGATGATAGAAGAAATCATATAGATACAAAAAATATAAATAAAAATGATAATATTCTTAATAATGGTTTAAATGATACTCTTCCTAAATTGCATGGTCAAAAACATTCATATTCAAAATATTTCTTTAATTGTTATATTAAAAGCGCATCATTAGCATTTTGGCAAAAAAAAAAAATATTTTCCAAAATACAAGTAAGTAATATTTTCTATGAAAATAAGATTTATCTGAATTTTGATCAGAAAATGTTTTTAAATATTGAAAAGGGTATTATATCTATGAATAATAAAAATATAATTTCTAATAATATTAATGATTATAATTATGATTTATTTGTTTTCAATAAAAATAAAAAACTTAGTGTAACAGATATCGATAAACATTATAAAGAAGAAAATATAGAAAATACAAAATATATTACTGAAAGAAAAAATAGTAAAGATATTTTAAATTATATAAATGTAGATAATTTAGAAGAGGAAATTAAGAAAAAAAAAAGAAAAAAGAACAATGAAAATAAAAAAGATTTATTTGTTGGAAAAATAAAGATATATAATGATAAAAGAAGTTATAATATATGTTTGTTATGTGAGATTTCAAAAATATATTATATTTTTTATTTGAATGATTTAAAATTATTTTTAGAATATCTAGATGATGGTATTCTAAATGTTTTTATTAGCAAGTCATACAAAAAAGTTGTTCAGGCTGCTCAAACAAAGTACTTTTTATTTAATTGTACCTTCATAGATCCAATTGTTATAATACCAGAAGATAAAAATATAATATATAATTATAGAGGAGAAACAAAAAATATTTCAAAAAATGCTATAGATAATTGTGATGATAACAAAGATAAAGAAAATAATAATATACCATATATTGAATCATATTTAAAATTTCATATAAATACTCTTAAATTGAAAAATTCATACACTATTAATTGCTCAGAACAAATTATATCAAAACAAAGAAAAGAAATTGAAGAAGAAAAAGAAAGAAAAAATAAAAGAAAAAATAAAATAAAGAAAAAAGAAATAATAAATAAAACAGAAAATAGAAATAATGAAGAAATACATAAATATGAAAAAAATAGTAATTCATTAAGTTCTGTTGGTACGTACGATTTTACCTTATATGTTGATTTATTAGGTATAGAAAGTAAGGCTTGTGAAAATGGAGGAAGTACAAATATTAAGGGAGATATATTACACAAAGTTAACATAAGATTGTGTTTAATAAATAGTAAAGACGGTTTGTATATATATTTAAAAGGTAATAATCTATACTTGGATTTAACTGTTTTTCAGTTAGCCTTTTTATTGGACATAATTAATGAAAACTTTTGCTACAAAGGATACTTCCCCATGTGTTTTGTTTGTGATGATGACGTAGATATAGAAAAAATGATAAATGCAGAATGGTTTAAAAAGGGTAATATTAACTTTAATAACTTGAATCTTGAAAGAAATGCAAATAATAATATAAACACTATTGATAACACTAATAACATAGATAATCAAGTGAATTCTATAAAAAATGAAGAAATAAGTAATGCTTTTTCAGATAATAAAGATTTAACTAATACAAAAAATAAACCATTAAAAAAAAATGAAATGAAATTATTTGTCTATATAAACTTGGAAAGTCTAAAAATTAAAGCCTCCTTCGATACTTATACACCTGTAGCTATTATTACATTTCAAAATATAAGTATATCATTTCATTTAGTCCTTTTGGATTTTTATTTCATTTATTTTTTTGATTTATTTAGTAACTCTTTATATATTGATGATGTCAGAAAAAATTCTATAAATTATTACAAAAGAGTTGCATATTGTTGTATTGAAAACGAAAATAAAAAAAGAAATAAAAAAGGAAAAAAAGTAGTTGATACTGTTAAAAAAAGCTTTATAAAAAATGATATAGCAGATGTAAATAATAACTACATTTTTTCAGATATTAAATTTAAAAGAAATATATGCAATGATAACAATGATATAGATAACAGTGAATGTAACAACAACAGTAATAGTTGTAATATACCTTTTAGTTCTGATACAGAAATAAATAATTATAAAAATTTATTACTGTATATGTTTGAAAATAATATTTTTTTAAATGAAAAGAAAAAAAACAAAAAACAAAAAGGAATAAAAATAAAGATTAATTCATTTATAGAAGATTTATTATTAAATATTGAATTGGATGATGCATATATTTGTTGTTTTTTTATTGTTTTTTTAGATATTTACAAGTTTTTATCTACTGGTTTTAATTTAAGCACATTACATTTATACCCTAAACCATCACCTTATATTGTATCTAACAAACATGAAAAGAAAAAAAAAATTAATAAAGAAAGTGATAATTTAAAGAATGAATTGGAAATAAAAGGTAAGAGAAAAATAAATTTAAAAAAAGAAGAAAACAAAATAGAAAATGACGTATTTGATAACAATAATAGTCTGGTATATATTAATGAAAATGCTAGTCTGAATATAAAACAGAATGATACTAATGAAGAAAATAAATATATTCATGAGACTGAAGATGAAAATGAGTTAGGAAATGGTGATGAAGGAGAAAAAAATATAATAAAAAAAAAAATTATCAGAAAAAGTAGTATTTTAGAGCATTCTAAATTTATAAAAGAAAAAATAAGAAATGAAAAAAATCAAGTAGTAACAAATATAAATGAATTGTTGAAATTAGATAATAAACCAATTCATATAAGTTTTAAAGTAAACAATGGAAATTTTATTATTTTTACCGATTTAGAAAAAGTATCTCAACCCATAATAATGTGGTCTAATAATTTTGTTTTTTCTGTTTCTCTTTTAAATAAATGTATAATTTTTAAAAAAATATATGCTTTAGATAGCAAAATAAATAGAATTAATTATGTGAGTAGTATAGAAAATAATATGAAGCATACACCTTGCAAAGATGTTTCTAATCCTCTTCTTAATTATCATAAAAAAAAAATACTGTTATGTGATAATCTAAACGTAAAAGGGGAGGCTTTATATGAATCAGTAGATACAACGAAAGAAAATTACATTTTAAAAACAAATGTTATGAAAAAAGATTCATCTCCATTTATATCAGTTTTCGAGCTAGATATAAATATAGGTAATTTTGATATTCGATTATCAAATGATGATGTAGAAATTTTATTAAAGGCATCATCTACTTTATTTGGTGATATACCTAGTTCTTATACCAATATAAATGTTGGTAATGTTATCCCACCTATATCATTTATACATACGAAAATAAAAAATAAATTTATGAGAAACAATATATACTATATAAGCAGAAATACAAAAGATGTAGAAATAAATAGTACAAATGAATTATTTATAACAAATATAAATAAATTTAGAAAAAAAAAAAAAATAAAAAAAAAAGATGACAATTTAGAATGTGTTGAAGTAGAAGAAAATGAAGAAAATAATAATAGAAAAAAAGAAAAATTTTATAAAAAATGTTTAAATAATAAGGAAAAGGAATCTTTAGAAAATTTATCAGAATCCAGCAATGTTATTGAATCTTTTTCATATGCATTATCTGAATATTCTTCAAGTTCTGATTCATTAAAATCTTCTGAATCTTCTACAGAATCTTACAAGTCCAAAACGATAAAATCGAATAAGAGTTTAAAAGAAAATGAATTGTTAACTACACAAAATAATGAACCAAATAATTATAGAGATATTAAAATAAGTATTAAACTGCATAATGTTAAATGTACATTTATTGATGATATTAGAAATTCTATTGTTCCTATAATAAGAATGATATTTAGTATGAATTTAAGTTTAATTTTTTATACTGATGAATGTTCATATAACATTAATGATTTAAATTCTAAAGTAGAATATTTTAACAACTGTATAGGTGAATGGGAACCATTTCTTGAAAAATGCAACATTTCTTTGGATGTTCATAAAATTTTACCTAATGGTATATATAATGAAAACATTGAATCTAATAAATCACCAATTAGTATTATAAAAATTAATAGTGTTAAGGCTTTATGGTTTAATATAACTCCACAATTAATTAATTTACTCATTTTATTCATCCCTGTATTTTCAGAAAAGGTCCTTAAAGGATTAAAAAAAGAAAAAAAGGAAGTGGAAGAAAATGATTTATCTAATAATCGTATTGATAATTTTGCAAATATAGGAAAACCTAATTCAATAAATGAGCCTAATGCTCATCAGAATATTAGTAATACAGAAAAACACACAGTAGAAACACAAAACAAAAGTTTATATGAAAAAAGTTCATCTGTTTTTAATTCATTTCATTATGATAAAGACGAAAATAACCCAACTGATTTTAATTTGGGAGTTTTTATAAACAAAGAAGAAAATTATTCCAATAATGATTATATGAAAGATAATTCAGTAATATATTATGTTAATTTAACTAGTGACTATTTTTATGCATTTGTAATGCCTGAAACCAATTTAGAGGAAACAAAAAAAAAGAAAAATTCAAATTTAAAAAATGAATACAAAAATATTTATGAAAGAAAAAGCTCTACACATAAAATAAATGGAAAAAAATCTACAGAAAATAATTTACAGAATTCGTATGATACAAATATAGATGAAGAAGAAATATTTGATAATACTATTAAAAAAGTTCCTGAAGTATATGCAAAAATTATTGCAACAAATGAATTGATATCCTTAGATAAATTGCTTATTAATGAAATAGCTAACAATTCTCTAATTGAAAAAAAATGCTTATATTTGTATTTGATTCCTATTCCCCCAACAAATATTGTAAATATAATCCACGATATGTTTACAGATATAAGTAAAAGGGATATAGTTTTAGATTTAATGATAACAAAAAACTCAAAAAAAACAATTGAAAATTTCCTATCCATAAATCAATATAAAGATAAAATGAAAAACAGAAAAATTATAGATAATAGTTTAAATGATAATAAAAGCAGAGATGAACAATTAAATAAAAATATTCAGAAAGAAAATTTATCTAATTCAAGAGTAGAATACATCAATTATAAGAAAAATAATTGCAATAATAAATACGATGGAGAAAGTTTAGGTCAAGAAACTTTTATAATAAATGAATCACTTACTACAGAGAATGAACAAAAAGATATATTTGATAAAACAAAAGAAGAGAAACTAACAGAAAAAGAAAAAACAGAAGATGAAGAATTAGAAGATTCAGAAAGTGGAGATATAGAATACTCAGAAGAAATAGAAAGAGATATTTTAGAGAAGGAAAATGAAAGCTACTCTGATGAATATTACGAAGATTATGAAGTTGAAGATTCTGACTCCACTGAAGATAAAAAAAGTAGTGATAATAATTATTATTTTAAGTATAATAAAAAAAAAAAGGATTTGGAGAACTCTATTTTCTCATCTAGTAAATTTATAGGTCCCTTCTTAAAAAATACTCAGTGTGTAATTATAAATTTAATTAAGAATAGCTGCACTTCATTAACGACATCATTAAACAATAGCAGTGTTATTCATATAATGAAACCTTGTGATTTTATTTTTGAGGAAAAACCAAGAGATAATTTGCTAAATAAAAAAAATGAGAGTTCAAAAACTTTAAACGAAAAAAGCAACGGATTTTTGAATAATAAAGATGTAACATTAAAAGAAAAAAATATTGATGAAGTAAATAAATTGGACATATTTAATGAAAAATTGATTAAACAAACATATTTAGCACGCAAGTATAGATTAAAGAATAATTATTTGCCACAAACGTCACTGGTAGAAACTGTGTGTGAAATAATATCTCCACTACCTAATTATAAAATATTGTTTATGTCATCAACAGTTAGAATTATAAATAAATGTGGTATTCCTTTAGAATTTTGTTTTTTTGATGGAACAAGAAACCCTATTTTATTAACATCATTAGAGAATAGAACAATACCTATAAATACTTTATACCCCAATCATAATGATTCTTTTAAAAATTATAAAGTATCTAATAGCTTAAACATAATTCCTAATATAAAATTAAAACAAAAAAATAATAATTTAAGTTTTACTGTAATTTTAAATCATGAATATTTGTTGTCAACACCTGAGTGTGCATTTTGTGGGCCATCTCATGTTTATTTATCTTTTAAACCAATAAATGTAATAAATGAAGAAAATGATTATTATGATATAGTTAGTAGAAACGTAAATGATAAAGAAAATAATAATAACTCTGATAGTTTATTAAAATATGAAAAGAATGAAGAGGAATTAATAGAACCATTTAATGCCACCAATGAAAATGGATGGTCGGACATTTTCAGTTCAGATGTAGCTCAAGGAACTTACGTAAAGAAATGCAAGTATAAAGATAACACTTACTTATATTTTCTAGTTAAAATTGAAAATAAAATAAGTGCCTTACCAGCTGAAAAAAATTTAAAAATTATTACAATTTACCCTCATGTTAGTATAGTTAATACTATTCCTGCATTAGTAGATATTATTATAACTTCTGAAGTTACAGAAGAACAGCAAAATGATTATATATACGAAGAAAAAAATAAGATAGACATGTTAAAAAATAAAAAAGCGAAGCTATTAAGGAAGCATGAAGAAATAAGTGCATTTTTAAAGAATAATAAAAGTTTTATGAAGTCAAATAATTCATATAAATCATCTAATGATAATTCATTAGGAAATGGGCAATATAATAATGAACGTATGTACGTGCAAGAATTAAGTAGAATTGAGAGAGATATTTTTAATATTGATGAAGAAATAAAATCTAAGAAAAAAGAATTATCATCTCCATTAAATAAAGGATATGTAAACAAAAGATTAAATCCATTTTCAATATTTTACATATATGAAATAAAAAAATATAATTGCTTAAATTTAAAGATGAAAATTGGAAATTCTCAGTGTGAATGGTCTGAAAAAATTTACCTTGTAGAAAACGATGAAGAGTCAGTCACTAGATTTTCTTTAAATTTTAAGAGATTTGCATCAGTAGAAGTAGAAATAATTAAAAACTTTAATGGATATTTTAATTCTTTAAGTAGTATTTTAGGAAATAAGCAATTATATATTTTTTCTTTGCCAAGATGTTTTATTGATAGAACAGGTTTGGGTATTAAAGCCACAAATTCAAATAAGTATTATCCTATAATTAATGGAATAACATTATTAGGAGATAACTCTCAAATAGATTTATTATTACCACACAAAAGTTGTAATAACGAACTTAAAAAAACAAGTAAAACTTCCAAAAGAAACTATGAAGAAAATACATGTAGTGACTATAATGATATATTTAATGACTATAATTATCCATCTTCTTATGATAATAATTTAATACTATTTAAGGCAACCTTACCCCCAATAGGTAGTTATACAGAAACTAATGTAATGTGTAAAAATTTTTTTTATACTTTTTGTTTAAATACAGAAAAAATAAAAACAACATGCATACCTTATATAATTAGTAGAATAATTACCATTGTTCCTCAATTTATAATTAGCAATAAACTAAACTACCCATTATTGATTAAACAATATCAAACAGATAAAATACAAGGAATTAAACAAAATGATACATCTCCTTTATATTTTTCAAGAAAACAAAATATTTTATTATTTGAATTTAAAACGTTGGAACCTATAAATACAAAAGATAAGAGCAATTTTTTAAGTGCTAATAAATTTTTGACAAATTATAATAAATACTATAAGTTAAATAAAAATATATATTGGTCATCTGTTATATTTCCTAGTGAAAAATTTGTAGGAACAAATTTTATGGTTATAAAAAGTGAAGAAAATGAAAAATCCGATGTATATGTTATTACATGTATTCCAGATAAGGGAACAAAAAATATAATTATTGAAAAGCTAGAGAATCAGAAAAAAGGATTTCTTGCATATAATTATTCAAGTTTAACTAAATATTTGAAAATAAAAACTTTTCATGATGATACACAAAATTTGAAAATAGATGAGGAAGAAAAATGTCTAGAAAAAAATATGTTTTTAAGTAATTTTTTAAAATCGACTGATATGGAACATTATTTTAATATAGAATACAACAAGCATAGTTATTTAGGATGGGTAAATCCATTTATATATATTACAAGAAATGTTCAAATTGAAATAGTTTTGCATGATATGAAAGTGATTCCTAAATCACCATTTGTTTTAAAATTTGATACATTTAATTATTCTCAAAAAACTTACTATATCAATTATTATAATATGTCTTTCATTATTTCCATCGAATATTTAGAAGATCTGATAACTATTAAATTAACTCATAAAATTAATATAACAAAAAATGTATTTGATAATTCTTTTCTTTATATGGATATGAAAAATTCTTCCAAGAATATTTATAATAATATTGATAATACTTTAATTAAATATGCATATAATGAAATAGAATGTATAGAGAAATACGATTTTAAAAAAAATTATTGTGAAGGAATGGAAATTATTCCTTCTACACCTTCAAATGGGGTGACACATATAAAAAATAGTAACACACAAAAAAAAATTATAGAACACAATGAATATAATTTTATAAAAAATACAAATAAAAATCATAATATGAATCCTTATATAAACAAATATGAGTCAGTTAAAGTGGTAAGTAGTACATATAAAAATGTTCATATAATTATTAATGTAACTCAAATTGGAGTAAGTATAATATCTAATATATTAAAAGAGGAAGTATTTTTTATTGAACTTTCAAAATTATGTGCACTTTTTTATATGAAAAATGAAGAAGAAGTAATAGACATCAAAATAACAGATGTTCAAATAGATTGCCAATTAGAATCTTGCGAAAAATGTGTGTTATTAGCAAATAGAGGAATTAATACGAACTCTAATAAAGTAAATAGTGAAAATGACATAAGAAAAATTAATAGTTATGAAAATACTCAGGAAGAGAAAAAAAATTTCTTAAATCCATCTTATGATAATAAAATAACTCAAAATAATGCAATTAATAAAAATATCAATGCAAATGAAGAAAAAATATTTTTAAATATATATGTAGAAAGATCTTTTATATCTCATAATGATGTTATATTTAAAAAAATACAAGTAGCTCTAGATGATGTAGAAATTGAAATGGATGCAGAAACTCTAAACGGAATAAATTTATTGATAGCAGAATATATTGAGAGTATAAATGTAGTTCAGAAAAAAAATTTGCTTTACGAAGAAATACAAAAGTGGGCAGTTCTACCAATATATGTAAACTATAGACCTCCGGAAATTCCATTAGCTATAAATATACAATATATGCAAATTGAGAAATTCACATTAATAGTATGGTGTTCCTTTTTATTAGACAAAATGCACATGATGAGTGATTTACTTAGAATAGGTTTAAGAATATTGATGGTGTCAGGAAAATTAGAATTATTAGGTGCTCCAGTTACATTAAATCAGGAAATTTTCAATAACATTCGTGTCAGTATCAAATCATTTTATGCATTATTAAAAGATAAATATAGCCATTCTATATTAGCTTGTTTAGGATTTATAGTGGGATATAGTAGTTTAATAAATATACCTAAAATACCTTTAGAAATAGGAAGAAATACTATAGGGTTAGCTGTGTATGCAGTTGATAATATTAGTGTTGGGATAGGAAGTTTTTTGTCTAATTTAACGTTTGACTCTGAGTACATTAATAGAAGACAAAAAGAAAGAAATTTTAAGAGTAATACAAATATGAAAGAAGGTTTGTTAAATGCAGTGAAAAATATTGGAGAAGGAGTATTAAGCTTATCTAATATAGTAACAAAACCAATAGAGGGTGCTCAAAAAGAAGGGTTTGGAGGTTTTTTTAAAGGGATAGGTAAAGGTGTTGCAGGATCTTTAGTAAAACCATTAGATAAAGTAGGTCAAGCAGTCTCCGATGTTACAAGAGGAATAAAAGCAGAAGTGTCAAAGCCTATAGGAGGGCATAAATATAAAACTAAAAGACATAGAAAACCAAGAATGTTATGGGGAGAATATGGAAAATTAAAAGAATATAATTTAAATGAAGCAGAATTAAGAGAATGCTTAGGTTTGAAATTTTCTAAAAATATTATGAAATGCTTAACTGTACATAAACAAGAAAATCATCCTCCATCACATTATGCTTTGTTGTTATACCCTAAAGTAATTATTTATGCAAATTTATATGCTAATACTAAGAATAGTGAATATTCTAATGATAAAAAAAGTGACATTGTTATTTGGTCTATTAAAATTGAAGATATTAATGAAATAAGAGCTTCTAGTCATGGTATTATTGTAAAAGCTAGTAATAACTCGAATATTGTTTATAAAATTCCATGTAATAATGCTTTTTTAATTAATAAAATATATGGAGAACTTCATAACTCAAAAAGTTCCATTAATTCTACTATTATATTAGGAGATAATAATTATTCTTTATATAAATATTTGTAAAAACGCCCTTTTAGAAAATTTAAAGATTAGTATAATAATGTATAAAATTAATAAAATAAATAATATATATATATAAAAAGAAATTAATAGTATAAATTAATAAGGGAATTAATTATGATGGAGAAAATAATTAAAACTATTAAAAAAAAGAAATAAACAAATATATAATATAAAACATAAAAATAAATATACATAAAAAAAAAAATATATATGTATATATATATATAATTAAAATTATTATCATGAAAATTAATAAAAAAAAAAATGTTACTTAAATGAAAATTTTTTCTTTATATCCTTCTTTATAATTAAATACATAATGAATATATATTTTTTTTTTTAAAGTTAATCGCCTTTTTGTATTAGCATTAAAATATCAATCTTACTTTTTTTTATAATTTTTGAGTAGATAAACTAACTTTTATAAAAATTTAAAAAGAATTATAAATTATTTTTTTTTTTTTTATTATTTTATAAACAAAATATTTTGATATAAATAATATAAATAAAAAAAAAGAAACAAAATTAAGGCTTCTTAATTTCTAAAAAAAAATTATAGAAAAATTTCCATGCACAAATAAGAGAAAAAAAAAAAGAAAAATAAACCTATAAGAGAAAATAAAAATGCTACATATATATATATATAAATTTCATTAAAATTTTTATTTTTTTCACATTTATAAAAAATTTTTGTTAAAAGTATTTAAGGTTTTTGATTTATATAAATATTTTAATTTTTGCTAATAATTTATTTTTTTATTTGTTTATAATTCTTTTTAACATTTTTAATTTTTTTTTTTTTTTTTTTCTCTTTTTTTGAATATGCTATATATTTACTAAATTAATGAATATTTTTAATTTTTTTTTTTTTTTTGTAAAAATATATTAAAATATATGAAATGGATAATATACAGCAACAAAAAAAAAATTTTAAAGAAAAAAATGAAAACATGAATAATAAATTAAATAACGAAGAATTAAAAAGAAAAACGAATCACATTGAATCTAAATTTAAAAAGTTTTGTGGTTGTACTGATCTTATTTTAAATTTGCCTACCATTGACGAAAGTTTAAAATTTTTGAAACATGAAGTAGACAATAGTATATTAAATTTTAATTATAGTACAATGCTTTTAAACGAAAAAGTTGAAAGACTAAATGATGTGGAACGTAATGTATCTATACCAATGGAATTACCCTTCTTATATTCTTTTAATTTAGAAAATAATGACGATATAAGAAATTGGATTAATGAACAGAACATATGTGAAAAAGAAAAAGATTCTAAACTGTTGAATAATATATATTTAAATGATAAATTGAAAGAATTTTCATCCTATTTGCCAATTGTTAAATCTTTTGAAAAGGAAGATTTTGATTTATTGAACGTAACCATTCCAAACTATTTTAAAAGAATAAGAAATAATATATTAGCAAATGAAGAAAAAAAAAATAGAGAAAATGATAAAAATGTTGATAATGTATATAATACTTCTATAGATGATATAAATGCAGTTAATACAAAAAAGAAAATTCTTTATAATGAATATTTTGAACATCCATTAAAAAAATATTTAAAAATTAAAAAAATTTATCCCATAATCCCATATATATCAGTGTGGAGAAATAAGTATGTACAGGGTATAATGGAAATTGAAAGTAATAATAAAATAAATGAAAATAATAAATACAATCAAAGTGATTATAAAAAGAAAAAAAATAAAAAATTCTATGGTCTTCTACATTTAATAGAAAAAAGTAGAGATAAGCATATATATAGTTTATATAAAAATCATGATATAAACAATATGAATTACTTCTTGAAGAATTTGCAAAATAAAAGTAATAAAGAAAAAAAAGAATACCCTGATGATAAAAAGAATAGCCTTCATAAAGAGAATAATAATATTCTAGAAAATAGGGATATTGAAAAAAATAATAAAAATACTATGGAAAATATAAAACTAAATGAAAATCAAAATGAAAATGAAAATCAAAATAATAATAATAATAATAATAATAATAATACAAAAAAAAAAATTAGTTTAAGTAAATTCTTAATAAAAAAGCATATATTAAAATTAAAAAAATTAGAAAAATTAAAAAATAATATTCCAAAAGAAGTAAAGAAATCACTTACAAAAGATAACAAAGAAGAATTTTCTAGTACAAAAAAAAAAATTTTTATGAGACAATCATTACAAATTAATGAAGGCTCATCACTTAATGAAAAAATTAAATATCAACAAACAGAAAAAAATTTAGATGAAGGGAATGAAAAAAATGAAATAAAAATTGAAAAAAGTGTAAGTTTAACTGATATGGATAATTCAATTAATAAAAATGTACTTGATGAAAATGTAAAACTTTTCAAATATGTTAGAGATTATAAATCTCCACCTTTTTCTTTAAATAAGAATGATACAATGTCATATGTTATTGGTCTTTCAAAAAAAAGATTAGCCTATATATTTCCAACACTGTCTAAAAAAGTTATTTTTTCTAAAACCGGTCATCAGAAAAGAAAAAATTATATTTTACTAAAAGAGTAAAAAAAAAAATAAGAAGATAGAAATAAATAAAATGTAGCAATAATGATTTCTATTAATAAGGATAATAAGTTTTTATAAACATTGAAAGATTTCAATATATTAATATTTTTTTTTTAAATCATATATATTTATTTTTATTTTCATATGTTTTTTTTTTTTTAAAATATATTTATGTACCTTTTTTTTTTTTTTTCATTTCTTTTCTCTTTTTTTTTCTATTTTATGATTTCTTATTGTTATATTTTTAAAATATTTTTTAAAAACTTGTTTGTGAATTTATTCAAATTTTACATATATTTTAGAAAAATTCATTAAAAAAAAAAATAAAATTTCATAATATTTTTATTCTCTCCTTTTTATATAAAATTTATTGAATTGTTTTTTTAGATTTTCTATAAAAATACATGTATACAAATTTTATTATGTCTATATATATATATGTACTTTTTTATGGTACATAAATAATAATGATGTATTTAAATTATAATTTTAAAACCATAAATTTAATTTTTTTTTTTTTTTTTTGTTGTTTCCTAAAAATAGTAAAAGTTATATATATACAAAAAAAAAAAAAAAAAAAAAAAAATTAAAAAAAAAATTCATGCATATATTTCCATTCAAAATTATATCTTTGTCTTAATAGAGCTAATCCTCTACCTAATACCAATTTAATTTGATAATTATATGAAGGGTATGTTAACAACAAATCTTCATATTTTTTTTTTAAAAAATTTATATGTTCATTAATATTTTCAATTTTAAAAGAACTTAATATATGCGTTCCAGCTAAACCACTTGAACGAGATGACTGTTCAAGAATTTCATTTATATGATCTCGTAAATCTTCTAAAATAAATAGCACATCAAAGAGTTCATTTATTTCTTTCTTTTTTTTCATTACTTCATTGTCATATTCATATCCTTTTATTTTTTCTTCTATAGAATTCAATATTCCTTCCCATATAGAAACGTTTAAAACTAAATTGAATGAATCGTTCCAATTGCTTGTTATTATGTTATCATATAAATCATCAATTTCCCGTATTATATTTTTTTTTTCATTTAAGTTATTATATAATGATGTGAAATATTTTCTTTTATCTTTTAACATAATTTTTTTTATCTCATTATTTTTTGCTCTATTGCTTAAAAATGTTCCACATATTAGTCCATTTTCTTTATTAAAAACTTTTAAAAAATTTTTACCATACAAAAAATAAGAAGATAATCTCATACTTTTTAATAAAAAAAATAAATTAAATATAATAATAATTTGGTTTGAAAAAATGTATTATGATATATAATGGATAACGTAATAATATTATGAAATTATACGTTTAAAAAAAAAATGTATACACTAAAATACAATTTTTATAAAATTAAAATTAATAATTTATATATTAATTTGATTTTAAAAAAATATAACTTTTATTACGTAAAGTTATATATAAATATTTTCATAATATCAGTAATCGCTTAGTTAAATTCTTTATAAAAAAAATTTACAAATAAATAATTTCAATAATTTATTCTTATAAAAGAAAAAAGAAAAATTTTATGTCAATATAAAAGGAAACCAATTAAAAAAAAAAAATGAGATATTTAAATTAATGATCATATTAAATATCATATATTTACAAAAATAAGAAGGTAACTTTTTTTTTTTTTTTTTTTTTTTTTGTAAAAGGAATGCATACACATTAAAAAAGAAATATATAGTAATTAGTATGGTAGATATGAAAAATATAATAATTCATGAGAAAAAAAAAAAAGAATAGAACAGTGATTCTTTTTAAAACATATATATATATATATATCTAGAAAGACCTAAGTTTTATTCTTTAGAATTTAAAATATTTACGAATTAAAATTATATGCTTTAATAAAGACTAATTCCTTTATAGAATTTTTTTTTGTGTAAAGAAAAAGGTTTTTATCTATCACATCTATATATACCAACATTTCTTCATTATTTATATACATATATATACAGTTTATATAGTTATGAAAGATGTGCTACATTTTGGTTGTACTTAAGTTCTCTTTGTATTTATTTTTTACATAAAATTCCATCTTTTTTTTTTAAAATCACTTAAAGTTGTATTAATGATTCACTTTTCCATTATTATAAAAAAGAAAAATACTTAATATAAAACCATCTTAATTATGCAAAAAAAAAAAAAAAAAAAGAAAAAAAAAAAAAAAAAATACTCATGTATATTTATTTTTAATTATTAAAGTACCATTAAAAACATACACTTCTTTGATAATAAAAAAAATAATAATAATTTACGCAAAAAAGTACATTAAAAAAAAAAAAAATTTTAATTTCATTGAAATCTCTTTTAAAATTGTAGGTTCTTTTATATATTTTTTTTTTTTTTTTTATTGAAGTAAAATAAATATATAACTACATACTTAAATGTAAAGAAAAAAATATATATATATATATATAAATTTCATTATGTATATATAAATTAAAATGATTAATAAATGGAAAGAATATATCAAAATTATGGAATTTTTTTATTTTTATTTTTACTGCAGTTATTAATAAGAAAATTTAAAATTTTCTTGTTTTTATAAACTAAAATAAGAAAAATTTATATGTATAAAATTAAAGACCATATAAAAAAAAAAAAAAAAAAATGCGAAAATGTATTTATATAAAAATAAAAGAAATAAAAAATTAAACACTTCAAATGAATTGATAGATAAATACCAACATTTAATAATATACAGTAAATTCCATTATGATATTATGTGTTTTTTTTTTTTTTTTTTTTTTTTATATTAAACGTATAATAATATTATAACAATTAAAAATATGAAAATTTTAGCCAAAAATCCATAATAACCTGATGCTATTTTAACTGTCATATATCCAGTTTTTTTACCATTCTTACACAAACAGACGAAAGTTGTGTCTTTTGGTACACTTCCAACTATACCAAAAATTTTTACTTTATCTTCTACTTTACTATCTTCAAAATATTCAATATGTCCAACATTTAAGTGTGCATCTAAATAAACTATTTTTGATGGTTCTAATTGTTCTTTTTCTTGTTGATATACTTGAAAAAAACAATCTGGTATAATTTCACCTGGACATTTTAAACCTATTAAATGATTATAAGTTTTTTCTTTTAAATCAATTTCACAATTTACTGGTGTATTGTCCTCAGCTTTTTTTAAATTAACACTATTTGAAAATTGCTCACTAGCATCATCAGTAGAAAAATCACATCCATGTATCATTTTTTTTTCTTCTTTTGGTTTTGCTATTATACTGTAAACTATAGAATCTGCCTTACATGTGCATGCAGCATCCATGTCTCCAGCTTTAGTGTATGAAGGAGCTTTGAATATTGCAAATTTTTTGTGATAAATAATTTTATTACTTTTATATAAGTCATTATATTTAGGTTTTTGAAAGCATTCTTTATCTATTAATTCACAAGCTAATACTAAAAGTTCACCTGATTTTAATTCAACTTCTAAACTATTATGTTCAAAATCTTCTTTACTTTTGGGATTTTTTAGATAAGGAAAAGAATCATTTGTTAAGTTAATAGATATTATATCATGTGGATATTTTAATACGTGGACATATACTAAAGCACTCCTTCCTTCAACATCTGATACAACTTTACCAGTATTGTCACAAAAACAAAAAAATTCTACATCTGTATTATTAAATGGTGATATTGTTATAGTTTTTTCTGTATAATCAGGAGAAGAATCATCTTCATTAACTTCATATTCTACTAAACCCAGATCAGAAATATCTGTTTCAACTCTTTTATCAAAATCAACATACACCTTTTGAAAACAACTCCCAGGCAAAATTTTAAACTTTGATGTTTTATCATTTTTAGGAATCATTAACCTTATCTTGTCATATATGAAATATGAATTTACACTACAAAAAACAGATCTATATTCAAGTATATCTGGTTCTAAATTATGAACACCTTTTGTTGAAAAATTACATTTATATCCTAAAAATCCAGATATTTTATTACCTAAATCATTAGGAGAAATATATTCTTCATCTCCTTTAATTGTTTTAATTATTATTAAAACATAAAATAAAAAAACTGTGTTAAATTTTTTAATATAATATAACATTTTTAAAAATATAAAAAATAGAAAAAAAAATTTACTATATTGTATAAATTATTTACACATATATATAATATGCTTTTTTTCTTATATTTTATTCATAGAGGTAATTATATGTTATTCTGTTTTTTTCTTTTTTTTTTTTTTTTTTTTTTTTATTTTTAAAATTACATTAAAATAAATATAATATAGATTTCTTTAAAATTAAATAAGTTATACTTTTAAAAAAAAAAAAAAAAAAATTTACATTGTTTTTTTATTTTACAGTAATAAAAAACTCCTAATTTTTAAAATATATTACCTCAAATAAATATATTCTTTATAAAAGTGGATATTTATAAAAATATAGAAATGATTTTTTATATTCATATATAAATTAGGTATTTTTTTAATTAAAATAAAAATAATTGAATAAAAGAAATAACATATAAAAAAGGTGTGTACATAGAGTTTTAAAAAGACATTTCCATGTAATATTGTTGGATACATATAAAAAAAAAAAAAAAAAAAAAAAAAAAGTTATTTTCATAAATTATTCATTCTTTTATGATTTATTAGAATTTATATTAATTCTTTAAATAAATATATTCTATATAAAAAATAAATATTTATATGAATATATTAATGAGTTTATTGTCTTTAATATTTTTTTTTTTTATCACACACATTTTTCTTTCATACTTTTTTTAATTACGCATATGCTTTGTAATTTTTTTTTTATTTTTTCTTTGCTTTTTTAAATAAATTTAATTTTATAATAGTTTTTTCTAATTTATTTAAATTTATATCTATATCTATCCATGTATATATATATTATATATATATATATATATATATATATATGTTCATATAATCATTCTCTTTCTTTCAACATATTTTGCTTTTTTAGTTTTAGATCTTTAGTATAGGAATAAAAAAAAAAATAATATATAAAGTTAGCCAGACTATTTTTCTGTATATGCATGCGGATTCAATGTATTTTTTTTTTTTTTTTTTTTTTTTTTTTTTTTTTTTTAATAAAAAGCACTCTAACAAGATTTAATTTATGCAAATATAGTATATAGTTATATTTTCAAATTAAAGGAATTCAATTTTCCATATGATGTAAACTAAGAAAAAATTAAAGAAAATATAGAACTATAACAAAATTAAATGTAAGAAATATTCAATGTTAAAATGTAGTATTTAAGAGCATTATAAAATATTTATTTAAAATTTTTTTTCACAATTTAAAAATATATTAATAGAAATATTTACTATATATTGAATAATATTGAAAAAATAAAAATTACCATAATATATAAGTTTTAATAATAATTATATTCTAATATATATAATGAATTGTGTTCTACAATGAAACTAAATAAAATCATATTAATATATTAATATGAAACATCCTATAAATAAGTATCCTTTTTAAAGAAAATTCTCCATATGAAATAATTTCATTTTTAATTTACAACTTCATTTATTTAAAAAAAAAAAAAAATTATGATTTCTTAATAAAAAACATTTAATGAAGATTATTTTTTAACATATTTTTAATTCATCAATATTTTGAAGATTAGTATGATAACTATAGTAATTTTTCCAACCCCAATTTTTTTTTGTTGGTTATTTATATTTATATGATAGAATTTTAATTTTATATTTATTTCTTTTATGTTATTTTAATGAGAAATCTTTTTTTTTTTTTTATTATGATTTCATTTATCTGAATATCTACCTATTTATCTATCTATTATCTATATATTTATATTTTTTTTTTTAATCATTAATTTTTCCTATTTATATTGCAAATCTAATTAAATAATGTTTTTATATTTAGTTTATATATTATAAAAATGTTTTAATAAAACAAGAGCTGCAGATATAATAAAATATTTATATTCCATTTTTTATTATAAATATTTTTTTTTTTAATTTAATATTGCTGCTTCTACTGTTTCTAAGATAAGAATAAAAAAAAAAATGATATAATATCTAGACTAAAAAAACACATTTTAGATATATTCTAGAAAAAAAACAAATTAAATAATTTCATATCTATATTGTGTAATAAATAAAAATATTGTTAAACAGAAATATCTTAATGGAAAAGAT